CTGTATCACAAACAGCTGAGTTAGCATTTAGTGCTGAACACATGTCACAGTGGTTCTGGAGAAGCCATTAATTCAAATGGAGCGCGCACGAAGACATGAGACCTTGATCTTCAAAGCAGCCAAGTAGCTACATGCACGCACACACACACACACACACTAATCTTCCAACCAGGAGGCTCCCTGAAGCTCCAAAGACAGCAGGCATATTTTTTCTTTCTGTGCGCTGTTTAAAATATTTGCTCCGGACTCCGAGGGTCAGCGAATGGCCAGAATGTGCATTCCAGATGGATATTTGTCACCATGTGATTGACACGGCCCCCGACTGTGGCCTCCACCAATCACACGCAGACCATTGTTGTCCAACAGCCCAGTGACAGGCAGCATGACAAACACTCCCACCTGTGCCGCCATCAGTCTCCCTCGGCCCCCAGCAGGATTTAGCAGGTCTTCGGTTGGCCTCCGTACCGACTGCTGAAGGCCGACACTGAGCACATACACTGGAAACTCTTACTGAGGCTGAATGTTCCTGCACATGTCATTTAGAGCTTTCTCCTTCAATCTGACTCACAGGAGTATTTTTTTCGTCAAGCTGTAAGTTATCTTCAATAGTCGTCTGGTATTTTTTTCACAACATCAGCAACATCACATTAAATGAATCCCTGAGAAACCCGCTCATTCACGGCTCAACGATACATTTAACAGAAAAGTATAATTTCCTGGTTAAGGTCAGCTGTAATTACTTCTGTAGTTTTATGTTTTATCATCACAGCTCTTGATACTTGGTCATTTAACCCAGATTTCCACAGATACTGTCTGGACAGGCACACACATGGTCTGAGTACGGCTCCACACCATTATGAGGAAGTGGGATAGTAATATGATTTTTTTGTCATTTGACTGAGTCGATGATTTACCTGCTCTTTTATGAGTTGTTCCCTGGAAAGAGTAAATCTTCAAAATTACACAAATTACAGGTTGTCTTGAATAAAGTGGAGTGGATGTAATTTATTTTACTTACACAAGAATTTATTTTATTAAATCTGCCAAACCTGGATCCAAATCAGACAAGTACTCTGTATATGAAATAGTGATGTAATTGACTGAAACTAATCTTTTCCTCTGCCTCATAGCAGCAGGTTTTTAGTGCCAACCTTTCATTTAAAGGGGGGGTGGTAAGTTGTTTTATATCCGTCACCATTTACTTGAATTGAAATGGATTTGGCTGCAACACCAGTTTACCCCTGAATCTTCTGCTGACCCAGACTCTACGTCCAATTTTATACAGTCTATAGAATAAAATCTACTTCTAGCACTTGAATTTTATAATTATTAACTAAATGGGTGTTGCGATGATCATTTTTATCTTTTTACTATTTACTGTGAAGATATTTTGATTAGAAGGAAGGAATTAATAGAGCCTTCAAGGAAATGAGCTAGAGAAATAAAAAGTATCATAAAAACAAACAAGCACACAATTCTTTCCAGTCGCCTGATAATATTTCGCAATAAACAAGATAAATATATCTCAGGCTGACGTAGGACACCTGAGACTCCTAATAAAACCAGAGCCTTGTTAATTTAACAAAGTGGTCTATTGTTGGAGGCATCTTCAGTATAAACTGAAAGCTGCTGCAGATGCATGAGCTCAGTCGTGCTCCAGTGGGAATGTAGCAATGATGAGATATCACTGTCTCTCCCCGGTGTGTATTTAACAGGTTTGTCTTCATGGAGAAGAGAAATTATAGATAAAACACTAAAATAATCATGAAACAACATAGAAAGTACAGTGAGCCGCCCACAGGGAACTGAAGGAAACACCGGATCTTTAGAAACATAACTCATTCATTCACACACTCATTAAACAGTAGAGATCGCTCAGTGCTCAGGGTGTGGCTTCGTTTCACTGAACCACTGCTGCTGTTAAACAAGAAGGACTGAAGCTGTCAGGCTCAATCTGCAGGGCACTGAGGAGCAGGAATGCTGGGTAACGCGATCGCGCTCGTGGCCGACTCTTGCTCCGAGCACCGGGTGTTCCTTGCTTCTCAGGTGGAGGGGGGGCCAGCTTCATGGAGGCACAGTGGGGGGGGGGACGGGCCCCTCCAGGAGACCAGGGTGCTACTTCTTGCGATGGTTTCACCCGACGCTCCAACATCAGTTCAGAACTCTGGACCGACGGTCAGAGAGGACGCGCCGCTACAGCAAAGTGCTGCGGATCTTCTCATAGGCTCCCAGGAAGATGAACCCGCCCACGCTGATGAAGGTCATCCTCGGCATGGTGCCTGCAAACAGACTGCAGGAGAAGAAGGAGAAGAGGAAGACATGCGATAAATTAACTAATATGTTGATATGGTGTCCCCACCCTCACAGTGCCACCTACAGCTGAGGAGCCTCTCCCAGCTCCTGAGCTCCACCCACAATTTGACAGGATTGGTTACTTAGATTTGTGACATCACGAACCCCAGCTGTCTGACTTCATTTCTTCCAACAAAACAATTTGTTGACTGCAGAGCTAAGGTGGAAATACAGAGTCACTGTGTTTAACTCTGGTCAGACACCTTTGCTGTCATTTGCCCTCTCACTCCATTCTGTCAACGATCCACAGCTAAAATAAAGGCAAAGAAGAACACCCACTTGAGAGAGGGGTTTTCTGTTTTTAGTGACTTCAGAACAGTTTGCATATAATGAAAGAGCAGATTCTCGTGGTTCAAGAACACTAATTTAGACAACAACATTTACAGTCTGAAGCCGAGGACATTAACCGAGTTTATGCTCACTGGTGGTGTAAAAACAAGCAGGAAAGCTCAGAGCGAGGATGAGCGCTGATTCCAATCAAACATGAAGAGAAAACCAATACGTCCACAGACGACGTGACATGAGAGAAACGGAACAACGGGATTCATCCTGAATCTGCAGCCGGGTTTTTCTTTTTCCCCTCTCCGGTGAAGCGATCGCTCTGTATCAGTTACATACTGTGCATTACATTTTTCACAACGTGCACACACCCAAACTTCCAGTTACCAGCATTACTTTTGTATTTCTTGGACATTTTTCTGACGTTTGTCTGCTGCAGCCTTTTATTAAAGTCTGTGCAGGAACGCTGTGAACAGACGGGATCAGGTATCAATCCGCTGATCCACAGTATCTGTGAGTGATTTACTGGAACTCTGTGGAAGCGGGACCGCCCCGTCACACGAGGCCTCTTCAGTGGAGCCACTTCATGAGTGTGAGGGCCCCCCCCTCAAGCCCCCAAGCTACAAGAAGCTGGGTCAGAGGATGCTATGGGACACGAGAGAGCACCCATCTCCCAAGAACACCCCACTCCCACCATTTCCCCCCACCCTCCCTGCTACAGACAGCTGTTTTTGGGATTAAGCTTCAAGCCTGCCTCCCTGGAGCCCCCCCCCCCTTCTCTCTCTCCCTCTCTCTTGGAGCATGACGGATGTCCAGATGACATCCACACATGTACCTCCACTGTCCGTCCATCCATCCATTCCTCCCCGTCTCCACGTCCAGCGACGGCCCCCTCAGCTGGCTCAGTTGTTCGGGGATTTCTCCTCCGTCTCCTTTTCTTGCTGTGTCATCCCGCTCAGACACGTGCACGCTTTCTCCCGTCTGTTCATCTGCCATTTCACCTCCCTCTCTCCCTCTATTTTCCCATTTCTCTCCATCCCTCTCTCTCTCTCGCCGTGTACTTGCCTACCAACACCTCCTGTCTGCCAAGACGCCCCCACGCTCACATGGTCCGGACTCATCCAAGCCAGATGTGACGATGAAGAGGATTGTGTGTTTATGGATGTGTGTGCCTGTGTGAGGAGAAAGTATGTGGAACCGTCTCCACGCAGAATGTCTGTCTGCATTCATCATCTGTGTGGGTTTGTGTGTTATTACTTTGCGTCCATTTGATTTTTTTACAGGACAACACAGTAAATATCATACTGGTCCACCATGTTGGTCCAGACTGAAACATCATAACGACTTCAGATTTGATCCAGTCAGGAGACTTCCTCCTGACTTCCTCTAGCGCCACCAGCAGGTCATAACCTTTACATATTCAATTATATCTCAGCGTATTCTGGATGGAGTAGAAAAGATAAATGTTGAAACATCCATGATCCCCAAACAATACATCCCAATGACTGGTAATCCCCAAATTTTCCTCCTGTGCCAAGTTTGACGTTAAATTTGGAATTGGTTTAGTATTTTCCTGTGGAGCTACAGCAGAAGGATTCATCTGGTCTTGTTTTTTAGTTGTTGACCAGACTTTATCTCACAATCTGTGCTCTATTTCATTTTTAGTTGGAGCCTAGTTGAACACAAAAACCTGCTCCAACTATGAGTTTGGGTAAATATTTGTGTGTGTATGATATTTCAGTGTTGATTCAGTTTTTTCTCTTTTGGAAAAACATGGTTGGTGTGTGGCCCAGAGAAAAAATGTTACTGTTTGAAGTTTGCCTTTCTACAGCTCGGTAGACAGAGTGAGTCTCACTTCAGATTCATATTGGTTTCTAGTTTGTCTGAAATGTTTCTCATATTCCATCAATTATCCACACCCTGTATCCTTTAGATGGTCGCAGGGTCACTGGAACTAATCCCAGCTGACGTTGGGAGAGAGGAGGGGTTCACCCTGGACAGGCCGCCAATGTATCACAAGCATTCACACTCACAATCACATTTATGGTCAATTTAGAGTCTCTGATCAACCTAACCTGCTTGTTGTAAGGAGATAGTGCTACTACAGTGTTGTCCACTGTTTCTTGTGGAATTCTCTTGAACTTCATGCAGAGAAAAAGGTGAAACAAGACGTTTTCAGACATGACCGCCGGGTAAACTTGGCTACAAAGTTTACCCAGGGGTTTGCATTTCACACATGCACAACAAAGAAGGGGGTTTTCTGCTCAGACGCGTTCACAACCGCATCATATCCTCTGCATTATTGAGCTGAGAGGTGGAGCAGTCAGGTGCAGCAGACAGAGGCAGGAAGTGACGTATTAACTCTGCTGTGGAGATCCCAACACACAGACACTGGGCGTCAGCTCAGATCACCACAAACTCTCTTGACATCTTTGTCGGTGTCTTCTGTGTGTTTTCATTTTTGTGTCTGTCGCATGTAAGAAGTGTCACCAACCCCCAGTATATTCGTTTCCCTGCTTGTGCTTATCCAGGTTGTTTTAAATGAAGAGAACAGAGAGAGATGCCGACAGGACTGAGTTGCAGCTGATAGCAAAATGGACACAAATGCCCCATTTGCAAAGCTGAGGGCGTTGACGTGTATCATGGAGCACTATCTCCTCGAACTCACAGAAACACTTTCACATTGGGTGCTGCTAAGAGCTTCAGGCCAGATATAGCTAAAGCAAGATGGTGCACATGGTGAAAATTGTGCAATCGTTAGCAACCTCTAAGCCAACATGTTCACGCCTTTTTTTCCCCATATAAAGGGAATTTTCCTTCAATAATGTCTGAGCACATGGTGTCCCAGCTTCTTCATACTGACCTACATTACTAATATTTCTGGCTGCGCACATGTGCAGCTCTTTCACTGGAAATTTAAGGTTAATTTACTGCCTACACGTCGCTTTGGTCAATTTGTACCAGATACGTCAGAGATCTCCCACATATCTCAACCATTCACACGACTCCACGTTTCAGAGGGTCCTGACCCAGATCAGGTGTTTTTAAAAGACGAGCAGGGAAGTTTTAGAAGAGTGTGTATGTGTGTGTGCGTGAGAATGGGCAGGTGTACATGCTCCAAATAAATGTGGGGACATGAGTCAGAGGTTGTTGTCCTGCCCTTCCACGAGCTCTTTCCATCTCCACACTGCAATCGCCATCTGCTGAAACCCGAGCTACAGGCCTGCTCCACTTAGCATTACTCGCACAGCAACATTCAATATGATCCAAAACTGCTCCAAGTAAAAAAGTTGAAGAGAGGAAAACGTGTCCACTGGCAGCTGGACAAGCTAAAGGACGTTACGGTAGACACAACACGTCCTGACACATCCCCCTGGTCTTCTCATGTGATCGCCAGCAGAGTGAGAAATGAACTAATTTTAACCTCTTGTTTTGTCTCAGCTCTGGAGCGGCGTTACGTTTCCTGTGTGGGATCAGACCCACCTGTGGACTCAGCAGAGCCAGCTCCGATATCCCCCCCGGCTTCCTGACTCACTCTGACATCACAGCCTGGCCGGCCACTGAGCGCCGTCACCCCCTCCCCGTTGTCCACCAATCACCTCCACTGAGGAGTGAGACTAAATATAGTTCCCAGGCTCCACAGGAGCACATGGAAGAACAGTGATGAGCTGTCATGGCTTCAGTTTAGAGAGATGTTCGTGCTCTTGTAGGAGAGAAGGACTGAAATCTTTCAATCTTGTAGCGAGAACAAATTTCTGGCTCATGAGAAGGAACAATGCTGAGGTTACAATAAACTACCTTTATTAGTTGTACGTCTCTTTCATTGGATATGTTTAAGAGAAACAGACTCGTTCGAACCTGTGTGGCTTTTAATCAAAACGGAGACAGTTTGATGTTTAAACATTCCTGCAGTGGGGGGGGGGGGGGCAGCTTTACTTGAATTTCATGGAGAAAAGGTGAATGACAATAACAAAAGTCGAGTTGAAAACACAGATGTTAAAGCACTTTAACAAAAAAATGTTTGAATCCAAACACCACACACAATGAGGGAAGTTCATAATATTCATCATAATATTCGGTTTCACTACTGTAAATTCCCTATTCTCTCAATAATGTCTGCTACGAAACTGAAAAACGTCTTAGTTTTCAGACTCATGTGTTCATCCAAACCGTTGACCATTAGAATCTTTGAGTCTGAGTGTCGAATGGTCAAAAATTGGAAAACATTCCCAGAGGGCAGACTTGAGATCTGATGTTCCAGAGCCAAACTCATGTTTGTGACCTTGAACTTTCACCAACTTAAACTTATCATCTGCAAGTCTAAGTGAACATTTGTGCCAAATTTAAAAGGATTGTCTTGAGGCATCGTTCACACTCACAATCACACAACTCCAATCAACCTAACCTTCCCACTGTGAGGAGACAGTGCTACCACAGTGCTGTCCCCTGTTTGTCATAGTTTTCTCTTGAAATTCATGCAGAGAAAAGGTTGAAACATTTAACATTTAAGATGTTTTCAGAAATGACCTGCGGAGAGAATCGACTTTGGAGTTTACCCAGAGTTTGCCTTTCACAAGTGCAAAACACAGAGTTAGGTTCTCTTCACAGACGTGCTCACAACAGCAACAAATCCTTCACATTATTCAGAGAGCAGCTGGTAATCCTTATGTCCGTGTGACTGTTTTTGCCAGATCTAAAGAAATTATCTTTGGGTGTTCCAAACCACAACAAGCCTTATCTCTTACCTGGATTTCCAAATGTGGTAAATCGGCTTTAAGTTTCTGTCTAAACAGAAGTTGTTGTGCTCTTTTTACTGACAGAGATATTCACTGGTGGAGCAGGTGCTGATCTCTGCCATGGCAGCAACATTCATAGAATCACTACCTCTTTACCAATAGTTTGACAAAATTACAGCAGTTCAGTTAATAATTAAAATATATATTCAAACCACACAAATGAATAAGATATAAAAAACCAAATTCAGTTTCATTGTATGAAAAACTTTGAGAGAATAAAATCTTCACTGCCGATAAACCAGGTAGGATGACCACAAAGTGTCTAACTTCACTCTGCACCATAGACTGTTTATGAAAAGCTCTGAACACAATGTCCAGTCACAAAACATAAAAGTATATAGTAGAAGTGTTTATCTGCACAGATACATTACACTTTGTTTCGGTTGATGGGACAGTTATAAAGTCCTCCAACATCCTGTGACTCTACAACATTAAGAAGGTGAAAAGTGTTCACTTTCCCCAGCTTCATTTCCTCAGCTGTAAAACAAAGATTGCCGCTCTCGTAAAAAGCACAATTACCACGAACTTCCAGACGCTGCTTGTGTTGTGCGTATGCGGCAAACGTGTTTACTGTTCTTGCATTATGGTTTACAGAAGGCCCAGAGCAGACACAGCCCGGAGGCCGCTCTGCCTCTTGGTCTCTGTTTTGACATGACTCTTGGTGCAGTGTGGTTGTTTTGCAGGTTACTGGGGGGAGGCTGCACTGCTCTGCGCTCACCCGGGGTCTCTGGGGCATGGCACACACATGGAAGCACTTTAGAGCTTCACTACACTGCAATTGGGCCTATTACCATAATTACAGCTTTAAAGCTCCAGCAATTTGTATCAGGCATGCACCAGCGCAACCACCAGGCCTTTGGCCCTGCGGAACAACAGCTCCCCCTCCCTCCTTCCTCCTTTCACTTTCAACACACTCTCCATTGTCTTTTCATTTCATTCTCTCCTCTCATTCCCTCGGCCCTCTCTCCTCCATCAATATCAGAGGAGAGACAGATTAACAGCTCATCGTGCTGCAGAACTTTGGGCACATTCTCTCTGGACTCTACGTTTTAATAGACACCAGGAGGAGTTAGTTAGTGGAGAAAATAGAGGATAGAATGAGGGAGAAAAAAAAACATCAAACATGTGGTGCAGAGGTGGTGAGCGGCTTCAAAGACTTCTCCTGAACATACCACTTGGTTGCTGTTGCAGTGAGAGGAGAGGATTTGTAGTCAGGGCTCGCCTGCTCTCAACTCGCTGAGATTGTTGTGGAGTCTCGTGATATTTTCTCATAATGAGGTGCAGCTTGTTAATGGTGAGACTGACGAGAATCACCCTCGGCTTTTATTAAAACACAATTCGGAAATGTAATTTCTGTCTGATTAGATTCCAGCTCTGCAGCTACACAAACAAACACTAATACAGTGGTTAGGAACAGAGGGAGGGGGGGGGGGGGGGGGGGGGGGGCGTCCCACTGGTGTTTGGCCTTGTCCCCCCCGAGCATAAAGCCAAGGTGCATACTAACTAAATGACAGCAGCTTGTACACAAGCGGGCCAATCATTCACTGTGGCTGAGGATTTGTTTTAGTGCTGGCAGCCCTCTGTGGCCCCATTAGAGTGGCCCTTTTGTGTGCTGTGCATCATAAACGCATCAAAACACTCAAATAAACCCTTCCACTTCGCCCCTGTAGCACCTTAATCAATAGGATGGTGCAGCGAGATGGCAGGAAAAGCTTTTACACGTCTCATTTTTTAAGCCGCAGCTGTAAATTCACCCTCCCGAGAGGAGCGGCTGTAACACCAAACTTGATTAAATGCTGGATCGGGCCGACTTTAATCAAATCATGTAAAATAAGAGGTTTTTAAATGTGCTGGGATGAAAGTGTTTGTGTAAAGATGCCATTTGGTTTTAAACCATCCCAACAAAAACGTTTCCCCAAAATGAAGACGCACACACGCTCACCCTGGGAGGCCTCGGCTCTTCCACACGTCGTAGAGCACCGTCGGGATGTTACCGCTCGCTGTTGTCGACCCAGCCTAGAGAAAGAAAGAGAGAGAGAGAGAGAGAGAGACAGAGAGAGAGAGAGAGAGAGAGCAAACAGAGGTGTGATGATGGATGGATTGTCTCCTTCGCTTCCTGCTTCTCCTCACGGACAGCTGTGTCAGCGCAGGTGACACCTACATCACGCACCAGCTTGGAAACACACCCAGCCATTTGCCCACCCAAAAAAAACACACTCAACAAGTTCTCCCTGTCTTCCTCCACACCCGTCCGTCTGGCACTTGTATTTACACAATACGGCTTAGCTGGCCGGAGGGTTTTTAATCCATCAATGCAGAGTGGCAGAGCTGCAGGATAAGGCCCAGCCGGGGTCGAGAGAGAGTGGGTGGTGGCAGCAGGAAAGAGAGGGGAAAAAAAAGCAAGGGGGCAATGGAGGGCAGACCGAAATAAGGATGGATAAGAAGATGTTAGGAGTGTGTGTGTAGGTGCACAAGCCAATCGCAGCCACAGCTCACTGAGTGTGTGGGAAACATTCTACATTGTGACTCCAACATCTGCAGAAACAAGATGAAGATTCACTGTTTTTTATGTGAGCTCGAGAGAAAAAAACCCTATTCCTTATGTTTCTGTTGGAGACAGGTGGCTGAGAAATGAGTCTCCCCTCTTCTCATCTAACAAGTTTTCTTTTCCTTTACTGCTGCGGAATGGTGAAAGGAAGGAATGGAGGAGCAAGGTGTCCAAAACACACACGCAGACACACACACACACACACACACAGCCCCTGTGCAGCTTACACTGACACACAAAAATATATTCATATTTCATTGGCTCACGTTGAGGTCATGAAAAGATGCTTCATACTGAACTCTACAGCATCTATACTGTTTCATACAGTGACATGAAGGGGTTCATCGAGCCACCCTGACTGTGTAGATGATGGTGAATATGACATAATAGCAGCCTGAGCAGAGGAGCAGTGTTGTACAGTAGCAGCGTAGGAGGTGTGCAGTGGTAGTGTGGTGTTCCAGGCTAAATGCCGCTGCTGCCGGCAGGGTGGTGGTGTGGCAGGAGTCCTGCGATGGAGGGGCTGTACACGTCCAGCTGTGCTCTGGACGTCGGCCCTGGTGAGCCTCGTCCGCGCCAGACTGCCTACTGTACAACACGGCTCTTTCATTCCGCCCGCTGCAGAGAAGAAAGAAACCTCTCCTCGGCTGCTGTGGGAAGGAAACTAATGTGACAAGCTCCAACACCCACAATTCCTCCCCTCCGTCCAATCTAAACCATCCATACCCATCAACGCCAGCCCTGCTCTCTCTGCTGTCTCGCTTTCACTCTCTCCTGCCTGGACTTGTCATCCTCTGCTGCTGTGAGACCAAACCGAAGTCTGAAATGTCTGACAAGTTTTTAAAAAAAATAACTCGCTAACTTTACAGGTTTTAACCAGCTCAGGTCAGGTTTGGTCTATTAGTCTAATGTGGCCTCATAACTTATACAACACACATTTAACTTTTTATCATATTTTCATCATGTCTTCAATCTAATCAGTTGAGTATTTTTGGCGTCACTGTCTAGTTGTTGTAGTGGAATTAGATCTTACTCTGGCTTTTGTGTGTCTGGCTTATATTGATAGATGGAATTATGTTAATAATCTGTGTTCTCACATCGGCTCATTCGGACATTCTCCGGAGGTTGCAGTCGCGGTTGGCAGGTGAAACTCTGCAGAAAGTCAGAGCCTCTAACTCAGACATACGAGTTCTTACTTTCAGCCACTCCAGAGAATGTCAGGACATTATCCAGGGTTCAATGCAGGTCTGGAAGCAGATTATGTTTCAGTCAATGTATTGTTTATTTATGGTTTATGGTCTATGGTTGCAAACTAGTTTCTCCACTGGGTGACAAAAAGGTAATCCTATCCTAATCAATCAGGCAACGGACAGAAATGAAAAACTAATAATCCATCAATCGTCATTCTTCATCCAAATATGCCAAATATTTTGGATCACTGATCAGACAAAACATCTGAAAATGCAACATGAGCATTAAATTATGTTTTTACTATTTCACAGATATTTTATAATGTCACTGCTTTTTATATGGATCAGTAATTGAGAACAAAATTAGCATATTAATTGAAAATAAAAATAAGAGTTGCAACTGTCATCGGGGAGGGTAGAAAGAGGTTTTTACAGCTAATATCTAATGAAACTAGTTATTTTAATTTCCGTAAAAGTGAAATTATACATTTTGATGTTACAACAATGTTACCATATTAAAAATCTTAATAATAAAAAGATTTTTAGATAGAGGACACCTCTGTTCTGACAGTGAGAGCAGTTTAAACTGTTTTGCAGTGGCTTTTATTTTCTTAAATACAGATGTTTTATTCCCACTGAATCAAATGAAGCCTTTTTTCTTTTTTTTTACAGCGAACCGGTGGAGCCGTTGGTGAATCAAAAAACTTGGCCTTATAAAGTTCTAACTGAGCAGCTATGAGGAAGCACAGGCTGAGTCCTTTGCTGGTGGTAAATTACAGCAGCTGCATTTCAGACAATGTTTACAGGAAGCGTTTGTACCGTCCACCTACAGCCAACGGCTTCTCGCAAGAGATCAAGCCCGACCAAGTGTTTTGTTAATTCCAGCATCTCATTAGTTAGGATGGAGGGAGGTGAGGAGGAGGAGGAACACTGTGTCTTCTCCAAGGACAGTTTGTGTGTTGGTGTGTGTGTGTGTGTGTTTGTGGAGGGGAGGCTGGTTGGGGTAACTCTGAACTCACTACCCTTTACACACAGACACACACTCACACAGAAACACACAGATACACACACAGACACACAGGACATAGTGAGGGAAGCCAGACTTACAGTTAGTGTGAGCCAGAAGTAAGAGAGGAGGTGGAGATGTGGAGGAAGAGGAGGGACACCACACAGCACACATAGGGTGTGTGTGTGCGTGTGTGCAGGGGGACGACGACTTTACAGTGTAGATGAGTTAACAGGAGAGGGACACACTGGCCCTCTGCTTCACCTCTCAGTGACAAGCAGCCTTGAGATGGAAATTCCTCTGGAGCAGCAGCAAGTCCTCACTCTAACACTAACCATGAATACAAACACGTCTTCCCAACACTGTCCATAGTCCAGATCAGATGATAAGTGTGTGTGTGTGCGTGTCACTACTGCCCCAGTGCAACATTGGCCTGCTCCATGCTGTGTGCTCTGCTCTCTGCCTGCGAGGCATCACCTGACAGCAGTGTTTAAAAGTTGCTGCCAAGTGGTGTGTGTGTGCTTGCATGTGTGCGTGCGTACCTTTGCAAGCATTATCCTGGTCTTCGCCACGTCAAGTGGAGTGGTAACAAATGCCGCTATCGCCCCTACAAAAGACAAATACGCACATTTAACAAAGTGCAAACATAAAAAGATCCTCTTGGTTCTGTCCTTGAAAACTAAAAATAAACCCATAAAGAGTCAATTACTTAACCACAGTAACAGTAATGTTCTAATTCTGCAGTAAACAGCAGAACTCTTGGCCCTCGTCTCTACTGAGTTCATAAACAGGGTATTTCCAAACCAGAACCATCCCCATTATTAGACCACAAAAACCAGACAGACACACTTCTATTCCCACCACCACCCCTCTCCTACACTACCTTATCCAACACACACACACACACACACACACACACACACACACACACACCTGCATTAGCTTATCTAGAAATGTTCAGACGCAAATGAGCACACAAACACACACCCACTCCCTAAGAAGAGTTTTATTGGAACAGTTACACCCCAACTTCCCTTCAGCGCTCCAAGTTGGAAGCTAGACTGGCTGCGCGCTCCAGAGGTGTCCCCACTGGGCCGCAGTGTGTCGAAGCAAGAAACTGTGTGTGTGTGTGTGTGTGTGTGTGTGTGTGTGTGTGTGTGTGTGTGTGTGTCACTCTGCCACAAACATAGCAACTGTTCGAGAGTAAACATATCCATATGGGCCACCAAGGAGCAATGTGACGCAGGCGAGTTGAGGACACAGGAAAACATTAGGATCAGTGTGGTGTTACACACTGTTATGTTTTACTGGTTAATGCTGCTTGATTTTAAGAGCGGATTTAAATCATTTATTTTTTCCCTCCTTGGGTGAGTGAAACTCAAACTTCAGCAGAAATAGAACAGACACGGGCCTCGCAGAGCGGCCTGGTCTGTAATATTCTTGGAGAGCAATAAAAAGGAGGCATTATCCCGATAAATCTTGCACGTGGGGGCGCTGAATCGGAGGATCTAAATTTGGCTGGAAATGCCATGTGATGTGATGAAGGTTAGATGAGGCGGTGATGTAATCCCCCCGTCTCGGGCTAGGCAGTTTTCTCCGGGTGGTTCAAACGGGGTCAAGTCCATCGTAAGTCAGCGCGGCGCACTAGCAGAGATGTTTGCGGTGATTAAACGCGCCTGTGTGAGCATTTCCAGTGTCAGGCAGATAATGGACGAGCGAAAGAGAGAGTGTGAAGTGCAAAGTAAAAGGGGAAGCGGCTGAAACTTGAGGATCCCTCTTGGAAAGCAGAGGGACGTGAACTTGACTCCTAACCCTGAACCCCCTCCCCCATACCTCCCTTCTCCTGCTTTTGGCTCCGGTTGTCTTATCTTTATATCGCAATTAACAATTCTGTCATTATAGTGGATATAAAGGCCGTCAGATTGCTTTAGGTTAAATACTCAAATACCATACATACATATTCATAAAGATAACAAGTTAGGATAATGTCATAAAGATTTTAATCTGTGTGAGCCTTACTGATGTTCAAACCTCTGTCTGGAAACTTGTTTTCCAAATCACAATCCTCTCTTTTACATTTTTCTTCTCAGTACGCCTCAGTCTGACACCTACTCATGCACATCTCCTGTCTCCTCTCTCACTTCTGATTCCTCTCCCTGTTTTCTTCCCAGGGTGAATTAAGTCCTGGTGGGGAGGCACAGAGCCACATCTCAGCTCCTCTGGGTGCTGTCTCCATCAACTCCATTTCTCCATCTCTCCACCCCCGAGAGCAGCGAACCCCCATCTTCCTGCCCTGTCTGGTGTGCTGCAGTGTCGTAGGAGTTATGGACTGAAAGCTACAACCGTCTACTAACAGCTCCATGGGCTGGTTCCAGTGCGGAAATGTTCTTCTTCTGAAATATGTGTTTTGATTGTGGTTCTGCTTTTTCATCGCAGATTTTTTTTTTTACTGTGTATAAAGATAGATGATGTGACAGATTTGTTATGCACAGCTATTTTGCTGCAGAGTCCTGGACTAATATCATTTTCTACCTCCTATACTGATACTGTATAAGCCAAATATCCATCACTGTGTTTTGCAAATGCACCACAGACAGAAACAGCTGACTGGCTAATTGACAAGCAGCAAGTTTCTCCTTTGTCATACATCGATCGCCCCAGAAGTTCTAACAGTTATAAAAGCCTCGGGTAAAGCAGATATGATGCAATTAAAAGGCAACAGAAATGCAACATCACATGACCTTGAATGAAATTGGGGATTTCTCTAGGTTTACAGTTTTACCATTGGAAAGATTTTGGACAATGTGAGTACACATAGTCAATAAAATATACATAGATCAAGTTGCTGAAAAAATATTACATATATCTTCAAAAGGTCTGAGATGTTTTTCAAGATGTTCGAACTCCTTGAATAAAAGAAGAAAATCCTTTAACACAGGACTATGCTCAAAAACTGAATTTTAAAAACTGGTAGTGACTGAACTTTAAGCTTCGACTCGTTTCCTTTCCCCTATTCATTGTGTTATTAGTCCACTCCCTTTCCCATCTCTCCCTCTCGTCCTCTCTCTTAAACCACTTCAGGCCCCAGTACTCAGGAGGTCGCACAGCTGCAGGGGCCCGTACCCCCCACATCCCTTCTCTCTCCCCTGAATCTCTTCCGGCTGAGGCAGACGAAATAAAATCATGGTATGGTATGATTGTCTTTGGCCTTCGGACATGAGAACATTAATTTCGGAGAGTCTAAGAAAAAGGCTGGAATGACTTGTTCTCATTTTCTCCTCTGTTGTCTTTTCTTCTGCAGAGGGTGAGGATTTGAATTCACCAGCTGAGCTCTGCACCTTTGTGGAATTGGTACAAGAATATGACTTTGGATAAACTTGTCCTGTTCTCTTGTGGCCATGATTTTACCTATCCAACCACCCATCCACCGAACCACCCATCCACCCATCCATCCATCCATCCATCCATCCATCCCCTCTGTCTACCGCCCACTCCCCCTTGTCTCCCAAAGCACCATATAATCCCCTGCACCTGCAAAAGCTCCGCACACTGCAGCCTGCCAAGAGTAGAGTGTGTGACCTTGCCTCCGCGACCACAGAGTCTGGGAGAAAGAGAGAGAAATGTCAAGAGAGAGAGGGTTGTCGATAGAGGAGGATGATGAAAGAGCAAGAAAAAGGAGAGAAAGTGGGAGGGAGACAAAGAGAGGGAGAGAGGAGGTTGTAGTTAGTGGAGATAACAGACAGTAAAAACACATTGTGAACCTTGGTCTGGTCTGGGGTCCAGACCCACGGCTGGGAAAATGCTTGTTCTGATATTTTCCTGTTGCTTTTTCTCCCCAATGATGTCATGATACTTGTTTCCCAAGAACTGTGACTGGACAAGAGGGGGGCAGGAGACCACGCTGCAGCGTTCCCACTGCGTCATCCTACTGCTTCACACATTTGGTCTGAATGACATCAAGTCCCACCTTTTTTTACAAATATTAAAATAAATATAATAAATCAAGTAGTCTTGGCAATTTTTGTATTATTACATTATTGTCACCAGCTCTGTGTCAAGGTCAAAAGCCACAATGAACTGATCCTATTAACATGCATTGTGTGTGTGTGTGTGTGTGTGTGTGTGTGTGTGTGTGTGTAGCCAAAGGCTGATAAATGTTATTGCTCTGAGCCACAGAGCTCCACTGTTGTTCCAAAACAGAAAGAGCCGCTTGTGTTGGGATCCCACCAGCAGTGATGCTCGTCAACATGATACTCATTACAACATAAACACATAACACTGACAGACAGACAGAGTTCCCACAACAGAAGGTGGGACCAGTACGACATTTACCATGAGGACACACACACACACATCACATTTACCTCATGTACAATTAACGTGTTGATTGTATCGGACCTTGGTAAAGGGTTTTGTATGAAGCCTTAAGGTTTAGGGTTTTTCTTATTGCAATTGACACAATATTGAATAAAGATTCATCTAAAACACATTAAAATGCATGTACAGTCAGACACCATGTAGTAAACTGCAGGTGAAATTAGTACCCAACACATACTTATTCTTGGGGGACATTTGCTAAATGTTTTAGTGACCACATATAAAAATAAAAAGGTGAGTCTTTTTAAAAATAAATCCCACACATTTGTGAACTGTTGTTTTAGCTGGAATGAATGAGCTGGGCAAATTGATACAAACTGAGTACATTTGGGCAAATAATCATGCAGATGTATCAGACTAAATACTTTATGTGCAATTGGTCCAAACTATTCATCTCATCACTTTTCAAAATGAACTCCTTCATGTATTGACTGCAGAGTTTTAGAGGCTTTACAGGTCTTTTACCTGACAACTAAACTAACCACACAGCATTTAGTCGATTATTGAAAAATGAAACTGTAATCTTAAATGTGAGTCAAACAGTAGTGATTATCTGTGTCTGAACAACCTCAGGTCACAGAACTGCTTTCCCCATATTCAAGTGGCCACTGAGTGAAACCACCTGATGTTTTTGTTTTGAGAATGAACTCAGGATGGGGAGGCGGCCTGTCTCTTTTTCTCCCACCACTAGTTTCCGCGAGGCAAAGAGGAGACAGACGCAAGGTTAGTCTTTGTATAAATGCACAGCTGGGCTGCCTCGGGCACTGCAAGGTATGATTACTTCTCAGGGAGAGCAATAGAGAAGCAGCATGAAGCGATTACTAATATTTTCTTTGTTCATCCCCGGCTACCTCCCCCCTGCACATTTAATCTGCAGCATCTTATCTCATTCACCTACTACCTCACACACGACAATGTGTGCGTGCATGTGCATGCAAATAAATGCAAACAAATAAAAGAAAGAAGGAGAGTGAGTAGGAGCTCAGGATGCATCATGTGTATTCCATTAGAGGCCAGATTAAAAAAGGAGATTTTGTTTTCCACATCAAAGATCTCACGCTGGGGGATTCCTCTCCATCTCTCTGCCTCTCTGAGTCGCTGCCTCCCTCTTCCCCTCTGTTTCATGAATAAATAATAAGGGCTAAACCTGGGAAAACAAACTCTTTGACCTGTGAACCCTCGTGTCAGGGTCGCACTTTGCACCTGGACGACTTCCCACAGGAAAGAGGCAGTGGGTCTGTGTGCTTGTGTCCCTGTGATACATGTGTTTTTTTTATTGCGTGTCTGCTGGTTTCATTCGCGTTCCCATCATGCTTGTGAAGCTCAATTCCGTGGATTTTGTGTGGCTCTATCTCGGTGTTCAACCATAACAGTGTTACTGCCTCCTGTTTTGCTCATGTTGTTTTTGAGGTCAGAACAGATTGGGTACACTTCACAGTTAAAAAGCACAATACTGTGACATTCATGTGTGAGACAAACATTAGCAATGACTTAGATGGATGTTGTTGTCTGGTGTGAAACAGCCTTAAATATATGTAGTGACTAATATGTCCGATTCTTTCATATCCTGCGACTTGCTCAACTGATTGACCAAATTCCTTTCCAGGACTGGAAGAGTGATCCTGGCGACTCAGTGACCGCATGAAGTTAACGCAGAGGATTTGTCTGCTGACTCCTCTCCCAACAGGCTTGCAGCAAGTTGGCTGAATTGGTTTTTCTCCCCTTTTCCCGTCTTTCTGTTTCTCTCACTGACAGCTGTGCTGGCTCGGTGTGAAATAAAAAGAAAGAGGTCATAACGCAGCACATTACTATCCCGCAGAGCAGCTGGGAGATCATGCCACACACACTCACTTCCCCAAATTCCTTCACTCTGGCATTTTTTGAACTAAATCACACTATTATATGAAAGCCTCTGAACATCGAGGTGGTCACTCTGAAGGAATGGCAGTAAAAAAAAAAAACTGTTCGTTTGCAAGAGGAGCAGAGGAAAGGAGAGAGAGGAGAGGAAGAGAGGAGAGCCAGAGGAGGAGGAGAATACTGAGAGGAGAGGATCGAGAGGAGAAAGAGGAGGAGAGGAGAAAGTCCAGATTCCAGCAGTTCAGCTCTCCGCCAACGGACTAGTCCAGATGGCCTGGAGAGAGAGGGTCTTTTGACTGAGGGACAAAGAGACACTTGTGAACGACAAAATCGGACTCTCGCAAATGTAAAAACACACACACAGCTGTGTTGTGTATTGTTCACGTCTTAGCTTGGCCGTTAGCTCTGTCTGCTGATGAAACGCTTGACTGTCCGACTCTCGTGCCCTTGAGACATGATGTCACTCCAACAAAATGTCTTTTCAAAAAGAGACGGCATTTTATGTGCTCAGGGCCACACAATGAAGCGACAAAGGGGGCAAGGAGAGTGGAGAGACATGTGAGAATAAAAGACATTAAGGAAGAGGTCAAGAGAGAGATGAGGGGGGGGGACAAAAAAGGAGTGGATATGCTGAAAACTCATGATAAACTGGCGGCCGGTTTGATGGGCATCGTAACAACCCAATAAAACGGGGCGTTAAGTCCCATTTACGCCTGCCACGATGATACAGGGGGAATGCAGTGGATGAGGCAGCTGTGAATGTGTCAGAGCATAAGCACACTATTTTAACTTTACTACACATTTACCGCTGAGAATAATTACTGTTAATGACGGTGCCGCGAGGTGGAGAGCAGAGCGATGGGGAAGGAATAAAATACATGGATAATAAAGAAGGAGAAAGAATAAAGTTTATGGAAAGATCTGATACGTACCTTTAAATATTCCCAAAGTGGAAACTGCACCAGTGAGAACGGGATCTGAAAAACACAGAAGATATAAAGTTTGATTTGTCACGATCATACAGTGTTGGGTTTCATCTTTAACCTCCAGTCTCCTGCACTTGTCACTCCTGACACCTCTCTACCTTTACTTGCACTCGTCAGAATGCTCCCTTGTTCATTCTCACTGCTGATTATTAATGAATGGATGGAGAAAATAGAAAGATGCGGGGAGGGTCTAAAGCGATGGTTGGAGTGTGAGTGTTGCCACTGAAAACACTCAAATCGCCTCTGGCAAGTTTCCACTCGAGGAAATCAATGACATTGCCAAGGCAGGGTGCAAACGACACACACACACACACACACACACACACACACACACACACACAACCACTTGCGAAAACACACACCACACACATGGAGGCACACACCCACACACACACTTCCTGTCATCTTACACCGCGGGACAGGACGGAAGAAGCGAGGGAAAGGAAAACAAAAGCAGAAAGAGAAATAAATCGAGTGACAGCGAGTTGTGTCATCAGCCTTTGATCAAAGCAACAACAGGATCATTCATCCATCTGCGTTGCGCCGCCAACATGTTCCATCACACTGTGCTAAACACATGGGCACAAACTGCACTCATCCAACTGTGAGTCAGCCGCAGCACAAAGACAATACGCAAACTGTGTTTATGCCACTTAATGAGCTTATTAAGCACTTAGTCCCAATGAAGTGACCTCATGTAAACACTCAATCTGTAGTAGATTAAGTTAAAGTGTATCTGCGGCAACTGCTCCCACACAGCTGAACATTAAACTTAGGATGACTTTTATCAACAGCTATTTAAAAACAAAAGGAAAGATATGAGCTGTCGAAACGAGTAAATTGAATTGAGTGGAACAAAGGGACACTTGTAGAAACAGTAAATGTGCTAATACAAAACATGTTATTTTATAACTAAACCTAATATACTAGTATAAGAGGTATTCAGAAAAACAAGCCACATGTAATAAAAAAGTGGCTCAAATAACAAACAAATTTGGGCCTTTGGCAAACATGTAGTGCACTAGGAAAGTTGTAATCTGGATGTGAACCTAAAGTGGCCCATGTGGTAAATGCTTAATATGGTCCAAATAGCACAAAACAAATCCAGGCCACCTTTGGTAGACATGCAGTATTGCTATCAAGTACAGTGTGTAGAATTTTGTGATATCTAGTGTTGAAATTCGATGTTGCAGCTGAACACCCCTCACCTCACCCTCTCCTTCCAAACATGAAAAAGAAACTGTGGTAGCCTTTAATTGTCATAAAAACTCAAAAGGTATTTAGTTTGTCCAGTCTGGACTACTATAGAAAACATGGCGGCCTCCGTAGAGAGGGTCCGAATGCAAAACGAATATTGTCAAATTTCACCAAAGTTTAACCCCATGCTGCCATTTGCTTCGCCACAGGAAGCAAATTTCAATCTCCTCCCCACTCGTGGGGAGACGAAGGTTTGCCTCTGAAATATTTCCTTATGTGTGACCGGGCCCTAAAGGGAGAGTCGAGGCTGACATTTCCTACACATGCTGTAAGCGGTTGACCAATCTCCTGCCGTAAAGAGACAAGAGCTAAGTGTTTGAGACAGCAGATGAAAAATAAGCTCATAGGTGTCCAGTTACTAAAAGTGTACCCACACATTCCAGCCAATGACAATACAGAATTTACAGTGGCCACAGTATAAAAAGAAATACATCTAATTTAATGTATGTTTTTGGAAATATCTAGAAAGTGTTGTTGCTTTGTAACAGACTTTTACACGGAGTTAACAAAAAAGATCCATCAGGTCCATCCAGACAGACACAAGCAAATTCTCTCAATCCTCAGAGATCATCTTTATTATCTGACAGACTGGAGATCTGTTATCCAGGCCCACAAAAATGGGGTGTTACATGATGAAGAGTGAGTACACCTCTGTTTTCCAACTGTGGCGAGATGAGAGTGAGCTTTCAAAAACAACCAAAGTGCAAAAGCGCACCTGTCTTTTATTACGGCCATGATGTGTTCTGCTTTTCCCAGACCAGGGAGATTGACAGACACAAGGAGAAAGAGGGAGAGAGAGAAAGAAAGAGAGGAAGAAATAGAGAGGGAGAGAAAAGGAGAAGGTTGCTGTGGTAACAGCCTGTATTGCTGTTACAATTACAAAAGTAACTGTGGACCTTTCGTGGCACTGCAGCAAGACAGAGAAAGACAGATGTGTTCTGCAGAGGATCTGGAAAGACTAACCCACCAGTGATTTATGACTTGGTTTGATAAAACTGCAGTGTGTGTGTGTGTGTGTCTAAACAGATATTGAATGTCTGAAAACCAGATGTGTTCTGATTAAAACTGATAAGCCATTTATTGGGGGGGTTGAGGATATGCGCGCGCACACACACGTGACATGAATGAACATGGCCAGATGTGGCATATGGCAGGATACAGGAGTGTTTGTGTTTGTTCATCTGAGTTATGAAATGAAGTAAGTTGGAGGACATCTGAGCAAATCACTGCAGTGTAGTTTTTTTTCTCTCTAGTTCTAAAATACTTTCTTCTCATTTCACATTAACAAGCGACAACTCATCAACTTAACACACAACCTGATGCTGGCGTAGTGACGAGAGGAGACGAGAGTAAACGATGAGAATGAATCTCTCAGTGAAGGAGAAAGGATGATGGGTAGAGCCATAAAGGATCCATCTTTCCCTCCTTCTCTGTGGCGCTCCCAATCACAAGTAACCTTAGGTCTATTTATTTTTCTACTGAGCTGAGAAATGCATGCAATGTGTTCCTCTCAGTGGAATGAAACTTTGACCACAACGGCAAGCCCTGTGTCACTGCTCTGACTTGCAATGAAAACACAAGCAAGATTTCTAAAAACAGCCCTGGGGAGTGAGCAGGTTTTAGTTTTTTCAAGCCTTGCATTTGTTTTCGAGGTGAGGAAACCATGGAGACAAACGCATGTGACATGTTTGCACCTGCTAGAGACACTGTCACTCTCAACCTTCCTGTCCCACAATAAAATGAAATATTACCATTAGAGGACAAGATGATAAGAAAGGGTCTATAGGCAAACTATACTGTTCAGAGGTGCTTTTATTTTGAAGTTCCATCTTAAAGTTTCAATTGTTTGTGTGTTTAAACCTTCATGAACTTAGAAGAGGAGAAATAACAGATAAATTGAACCCAACATGTAACAGATGTGTAATGCAAATGAACTCTACGTTCAGCCATTTTAATAACGTCATTATAGTTACTAGATCTCTAACATCAAAGATCTTATAGTTCCTCAGGAATTAAATATGACAGTTATTGGGCAATGTGTTTTTCACAAAGATTTGTTTTTCATTAGATTTTCACCACTCAATCCCCACATTCCTGCTGAAAACAAATATTAAAAACTCACTGTCTGGTACAACAAAGATGTATAATGAAAAATACATGACGATTATCACACTACATGAGTAAATAAAGTTTTTACATTAAGTGTGAGCCCCTCACAGTGGACTCAGGAAAAGCAGCGACTGTGACTCAACTTTCTCTTACATTATTTCATCATTGCCTCAAAATATGTTGAAACTGGTGAAAAACCTGTTTTTCATTAACTGTGCGTTGTTTTATTTCAAATCAAAGTCCACTTTGGATCAGACACATTGGCTGATGACCAACAGTCCTTTGCCTCTTCCCTATTTTATCACTTATTTTCATGGATCTTGAGATACAATAAATCCTTTGAACACATTTTAGGGATGTTTTTTAATCAGTTGTTGATGAAATCATTTCAGATGTTTGTGATTTGACTGAAGCTCAAGGATAAAAGATATTATTGTCATCTGTGAATTTGACGTGTGATAAAAGCTCTTTTCATCAAACTTGTGCTGAGAGTGAAGTGGAATTCAACTCTTTCTCCACAATTCAAGATTTTATGCATCTGTGGACCACAAACAGATTATATACTTTTCAAGTGAGCAGAATTTCAGTTTTACAATGGGACAAAGAGTGCTTTATAAAGCATAGGCCTGTATACTTTATAGTATCACACATTGTAAAGTGGGCTCCTTCAGCAACTGTAAATGTCCTACACAGTGACCATTTTGACATTTTATAAAAACTGATTTAATATGAAATACTAGTGAGCCAGATATCACTGCGCTTTCATCCATAAACAAGCATTCATTCAACAATCATTTATAGGTTTGGAGTAAAAATGATAAAAAAAATTACAAGCCACAGTTTCAGCTCCAAATGTTCACATGTTGCTGGTTTATAAATATATATATAATCAATTTAACCAAGAAAAGTCATTGTCAGCTGCAGGCCTACACTTAGGGGTCTGGTGAATGGCTTTAGGACACCTGGTTGTAACTGGTTGCAGATGCTGAACCTAAAGTCAAGACTTTACTTTCCTTAACCGCTGGGTCAGTGGGCAAACTGCATGGTTTTGATATTCTAGAGTTACAGAGAGGTCTGCTACAACAGTTAAGGGCATATTTAGACTTCTGGTATACGTCATGGTAGAACGGCACGCAGCCACACAGGCAGCCAGGTTCCTGCTACACCAACCTGGCATGAAGGAAACCAGCCAGCATAAATCCCCACTGCTCCGTGGTGCTAACTGCTGACTGCGTCTCATCCCCCTGACTCGTATAATGCCTCAGCTCCCAGGGCCAATTCACAGCCAGGAAGTCAAGCCAATTTCTATGTGTGCGTGTGCATATCTTTGTGAGGACCATTTTGAGCATAGACATTAGGTAGTCAGGACATTTTGGCTGGTCCTCACTTTTTCATAGGGTTGTTTGAGGGTTAAACTTGATCTTAGGGTTAGAATTAGGACAGGGTTTGGCATTTAGTTGTGATGGTTAGGATTAGGGCTAAAATGTGAAGTGTTGTTAGGTTGAGGTTAGTCAAGAATTGGTTATGGTTAAGGTTAGGGATAATGTTTGGTTAAGCTGTCCACAACGAATGGGATTTAATGCCAACTCCCAATAAGTATGTGCGTGCGTGCATGTATGTGAGTG